TCAGGGAGTAAGTGTAAGGTTTAACTGAAAGCAGCATTCAACGTATAGAGTGCATGCAGGATTTTGTTTCAAGTCTCTTGCTAATGTGTCCCCTCTTGTTCAGTCAGGGCTAACCTGCTTGTAATCAGTCACTGGGGATTATATATACACACACTGGGAGGACTAGATGCACACATCTTCTCTTTCCTTTTCTGGGCTGACTTTGGACACAGGCCCAGACTTCTGGATCTTGAGGTTCAGCCACTTTTTCCCCACCAGCTCAGTATCTGGCGCACCTTTACTGCTCATAGAAGACTTAGAAGTTTTTTGTGGGCACTTGAACTGGTTCTTTTCCCTTCCCGGCTGCTGGTCTTCCCTTGTAGGCTCATGTCTCACAGCTGCCTGGGCATTTAAGAAAGTAGGAGCTCCACGGTGACCAGGAAGTCAGTGATAGTACAAAGTGGGGAGAGTGTGACTGATACACAGAAGGGATCAACAGCAGCAAACTGCCCTCCAGCACTCACCGGTGGTGCAGCTGGGTCTGGGTCTCTGCGCTTCCTGCTGCTGGTGAGTGCAGGCCCGGCCCTCCAGCAGTCCTTCAGGAAGTGGGGGGCGGGGCTGGGGCGGAGCAGGGCGGGGGCTTTGGGGAAGGGATGGTGCCCCAAATTTCCTGGTGCCCTACACAGCTGCGTACTTTGCATATGGGTAAGGACGGCCTTGTAGACAGAGGCCACTGCAGAGTCTCAGTTTCTAGTGCAGCTGTGTTTATTTTCATTAGGTAGCAAGGAACCTTTTAGACAAGGGAGATCAGGTTCTGAAAGGCAATTCTCTACTGGAGCAAATGGAATAATTTGTAGTGAATAACATACTCGACAAACTTAACCTCTCGTTCTGTTTGTGGATTATGTGTGAGCATCTATTATTTATTTGTATTACTGTGGAGCCCTAACAATGGATCAGGACCCCAGTGCGGTAGGCGCTATACGAACACAGAACAAAAAGACTATCCCTTCCCCAAAGAGCCTAAAATCTCAGTATAAGACAAGATAATAGATGGATACTGGCAGAGGGGGCACTACAGGAAAATAATAAGACAATACTGGTCAGCATGATAGGCAGTTATCTCAGCATACCAGCTGCCTAACTGTGGTCAAGTTTTTAATAGGCATCAAGGCAAAGGAGACTCTTCAGAGTGGGTTTGAAGAAGGACAATGAGTTAGTTTTACAGATGTTTATGGGGAGTTTCTCCCAAGTGTGAGGGGCAGCAGGAGAGAAAGCAGGAAGGTGCTTGTTTGAAAATGTAACCAGTGGATGATGGAGGCTGGCATCATGGGCTGAGTGGAGGCAAGAGTTGACCTCTCAATAGTGAATGAAAAATAGGCCATGAAGGGCCTTGGAAGTAAAGGGTTGTCTTAAATTAATTCACTATTCAAAATTCTTTGCCAAATGCTTTCTGTGAATCATTCTTAGTCTAGATTGCATGGGCTGTTTATGTGAGTACTTAGCATTCAATCTTTCTAGTTACGACTGAACACATCATATAGAGCAGGGGTCGGCAACCTTTCAGAAGTGGTGTGCCAAGTCTTCATTTATTCACTCTAATTTAAGGTTTCGCGTGCCAGTAATACATTTTAACGTTTTTAGAAAGTTTCTTTCTATAAGTCTATAATATATAACTAAACTA